AATGGCTATGTCGCTGGACTCTCATGTAGTCGACTACAGTTTGAGTCCTGGACTCGGCGGCTTAAATTCACACCAGGTGCGTGATGCGTGTGCGTGCGTGCCCAAGATCCCAAGAGGAGAATGGAGGAGAAGGGATTGCCGCGTGGCCATCCCCCCTGGGGGGTGATTTCTCGCTTTCTGTCTCTCTGTCTTTCTGATGAGTGCACATGCCCTATAGCAAAAACCTCTCCAAAAAAAAAAAAAAAATTGACTGGTATAAAATCAACCTTGGTTGATTGATTTCTTCTGTAGACTCTAGGACAGAATCTGTTGTTGCCTTTCCCAGATTTTAGTGACTGCTAGTGGTCCCTTCAGTCATCTTCAAATGTGCTAACAAATTCTTGTCTCTCTCGCTGCCTCCTTTTTGCAAGGACCTTGTGATTACTCTAATGTATGCAGGATATTCAGTTCAATTGAGGCTACCTATCTCAAGATCCTTAGTTTAATCCCATCTGCAAAGTCATTTTTGCTATATAAGGTGATCACATACTCAGAAATTCAAAAAAAAATAGAACATGAACTTCTTTAGGGAGCATTTCTCAGCCTCCCAAATCTGTTTTTCCTTTATGATATTGATATTGCTAATTTGTACCTTCCTTTTTTCTTTTCTTGGTTCTGAATAGTGAGTCATAAATTATATTGCCCTCTTTAAATTATGTTTTGTTTTCATTAATATTTTCTGTTTTCTTCTCAATGTTATTGATTTCTACTCTATTAATACATTCCTTCTTCTGCTTAATCTATGTTTACATAGCTGTTATTTCTCTGGTTTTCTGAAGAGTAAACTTGGCTTTTCAATTTTAGACCTTTTGGGGTCCAGCAGATGGCATAATGATTATGTTGATGGACTCCCATGTAGTCCACTGTAGTAGAGTCCTAAACCTGGTGGTTTAAACTCACACTGGGGATATGTGCATGCATGTTCAAAGTCCTGAGAGGAGAATGGAGGAGAAGGAATTGCAGCGTGGCCATCTTCCTGGGAGGTGATTTCTCATTTTCTGTCTCTCTAGTGAGCATATGCACCCTGTAGCAAACATTTCTCTCTAAAAGAAAAAAATAATCATTTTAGTTTTTCTTTTTTTGATATATTTAGCTAATATATATTTCACCATAAGCACTGTGTTTACTATAAATAAAAATAAATTAGTAAGTTGCATTTTCATTGTATATTTAGTTCAACCTATTTTCTTAACTTTCTCTTGTAGATTTTTTCCACGTGTCATTTAGAAGTCTGTTGTTTAGTCTTCAAATATTTTGACATCTCCTAGCAATGTTTCTCTTTTTGATTTCCAATTTAATTCCACTGTGATCTGATGATATATTCTGAACTATTTTATTTTTTATGTCTTTTTAGAACTCTGCTTTAACTGAATCTGAGTTTCAGAACTATGACATTTCCCTTTTCCCTGAAGAACTTCTTTTTAACATTTCTTATGTGGTAAGCCTGTAGAGAATACTTTCAGCTTTTGATTGTTAGAAAAAGTCTTTATTTCTCCTTCATGTTTGAAGAAAAAAATTGCATGCTATAAAATTCAAAATTCAAGTTGTGCCTTTTTAATTTTTTTTCAACACAGTAAGTAGTTCATTTCACTTGTGGTTGCCAATGAGAAAACTGTTCTGCTTCTTGTTTTCATTCTTCTTCTTCTTTCTTTTTTTTTTTTTTATGTTTTTGCCATAGGGCATAAGCACTTACCAGAGTGACAGAAATACAAAGTAAGAAATAACCTCCCCAGTGGGGATGGCCATGTTGCAATCCCTTCTCCATTCTTTTCTCAGGACTTTGGGCACATGGTTTTCAAACTGCTAGGTTCAGGACTCGAACTGTGAAGCTGGCTATGTGAGATCCAGTGTCTTAACCACCATACAACCTGCTGACCCTTGCTTTTGTTCTTTATACCTAATTTGTTATCCCCACCTCTGGATTCTTAAAAAAGATTTTTCTTGCCATTATTTCCTGTAGGTTAAATACAATATGCCTAGGTTTAGTTTTAGCTATTTATCTTTCTTAGTTCTCTGAGCTTCCTAGGAGTAGATTTTGGTGTTTGTCATTAACTTTGGAAAATCTTTTGTTCTAGTCTTTTCTCCTCTTCTGATATTTCTATAAAGCATATGTTATACTTACTGTAATTATCCTTCAGTCTTTGGATATCCAGTTCCAGTTTTATTAAATTCTATTTCTCATGGCATTTGAGTTTGGAAAGTTACTGCTGACCAATCTTCCAGCCCACTGATTCTTTACTTAGGAGCCCATCAGAAACATTCTTTAGGGTCCAGCTCAGAGCATGGAGGTTAAGCACTGTGCATAGAAAGTCCTGCATGGTCATTCGCCTTCTGAAATCTTGGCCCCATAGTCTTGAACAAACATGTGAGCACATGTGCCTGAGTGCATCAGATCTCAACAGGATGGAGAAATGGAGGCAAAGGATTGCAGCATGACTGTGTCTCACTGGGCAATATTCTCTGGCTCTCCTCCTTCTCCCCATCTTCTCCCTTTGTCACTCCTTCCCCCTTATTTCCTCCCTCCCCTTAGTGCATGCACTCTCTAGTAATGAAAACAAGAACTAAGAACAAGCAAAAATAAATAAAATTTTTAAAAACATTCTTCATTTCCATCCGAGTATTCTGGTCCATCATTGTGTTACTGAACAGAAATATGCAATTCAGGTGTCTAGAAAGTCCAAGAGCATGGGTGCAGGACACTTGCCAGCCTCTGGTCCTATGTTTTAACATGGCAGACAGGAGCACAAAGTTCAGCTGGTGTGTGTAAACAGAGAAAGCCGCAGGTAGCCATCGTCCTTTTTAACAAGCCCCTCTTCATAGGACCTAACCAATTCCCAGTAAGCGGAAGTACACTCCATTGCACATGATGGAACTAATCAATAAATAGCCATGGTGGCCACCTGGTCCAAACACAGCCCTCTAGTCCCTATCTCCAAAGATCTCCCCACCTCTCAACATCAATACCTTGGAGCCATGCTTCTAGCACATGGACCTTGGGAGATAATAAACTGTATCCCAACCATAGCACAGTGTTTTTGAATTGTTTCATGCCTTCTGATTCTTTCTTCTAGTACTTATCTTTCTGCTTATATTATTTATCTTCTCTAGCATGTTCTCTAGTTTTTCCATCAAAAACCTAATCACATTAATCAAAATTATTTTAAATTCCCTTTATGACAGCTTCATGACCTGTGCCATGTCCGAATCAGACTCTAATGTTTGCCTTGCCTCTTCATACTACATATTTTTTGTTGTTGTTGGTAAGAATTGTAGTTTCCCATAAAAAAACACACATTAAAGACACAAAAGTAAAAAGCATTTAATGTGAGGTTTTATGTGGAGTCTCTCTAGAAGTTAGTTTGTGTTTAATGTTAAATCTATATGTAGGTGCAAGAGGTTTAAATTTCTCTAGTGTAGTTGTCTTTGTTTCCTCGTTGCCTCTGGGTTTTCCTCAGAACTCCTCCTTAGACAGATTCTGTACCTTCAGCTATCTTACTGGGTCATCGGAAAAGTCACGATGATTCTTTTGCATAGAAAATATGGCTTTTCCAATCCAATAGTTATAATGTAGCTATTGTACTATATCCCTTTCTGTATAGTAGTACATGAGCAAGGAGAAACACAATCTATTGATATGAATAAATGTTAGTATTTGTGTGGGTCTGTGTCCCAGTACTGTGACCTTAACAAGTATTTCCTAGCCATTTCCACCTTAAGTATGCCAGAAAAGCTAGAGGATACTGGAATTGGGTAAATGCCCTTCCCCGTAGGTATGATAAGACTCTCTTAAGGTCTTTTTATCTGCCAGTAAGTTTTTTTGTTTGTTTGTATTTTTTTTTTTATGGAAAATGCTCTGGACTGATGTCAGAATATATTTTTTAATTTTCCCACTGCCAGAGCCATGAGAGGATTATGCATTTTCTTTCTTTTTTTGTTTGTTTGTTCATTTTTAGTATAGTTTATTGTATTACTTACTTGAGAGTAAGAAAGAATAAGAGAAAGAAAGAGAAAACCCTCAGCAGATTCTTGTATTTTCAGCATCCTCTAACCCCAAGCCCCTCACCAAACAGGATGCCATGCCCAGAAACATACTCACCATGTTTCAGATTGACCAGAATCTGGACTTCATTATTCCATGCAAGTCCAGTATTAAAGAACAGAACTCTACAGTCTGTATAATCATGGCTATGCCAGAGAAAATTATTTCTGTCTTTCTGCAAGAAGACGTGGTAGAAGGGCTGAAATTAAATCCATAAAAGAGTGAAGGTCTCCCTAGAACTGCAACCTTGAAAACTGGCTCATTCTTAAAGATAATCCACTGGTCACATGCGGTATTTCTTTGAAGTGTTTTTTATGTATTTCTGACACATTATTAATCTAGAGGTTACTGCCCTAGTAAGCAACAAATAAAAGGGCTCTATGTCATTTGGAGCTTCTGTAGATATCAGTGTAGTAATTTTCCCTACTATCTCAAAACTCAGATTGGCAAACAAAGTTGTTGATTTTAAGTTTTCCTAATACTTTCTGTTTGAAAGAATAGAGGAACAACTTCCAATGCTCCATACAACAACACTGTAGTCAGAAGTCCTAAGACATACTGTTTTTACTGTATTTTATAAAAATTCCTGTCCAAGGTGGATTACATATTTAAAAAAATCATCACAGAAGATCATTTGAAAAGTATCTTTGGAAAAAGATATTTCTGCCTAAAATTGGTTGTGTCACATAGTCAAGGAGAATGTGCAGGCAGTGAGCGTGCAGAGCACTGTGATCTTGTATCCACAACCCAACGCTGCATGAACAGGACCCACACCAAAATCTCCACACACTACAGGGATGAACACTTAGCCATTCTTCCCCAGACTGGGTGGGACTGGGTAAAGGAAAGACTCAAAATTTCCTCCTCATCTATCCCCCTTCTTCCACAAGGACATACTAGAAACAGATCACAAAAGCATATAGATGTGAACTAAAATTTTTATTATTGCTCACTGAGACCACAGGCAATGGAAAACACAGAGAGCCTGTAATGAGGTTAAAGGAGCGAGCAGACCAGGAAAGGTAAAAATGAGGTAGTCTGATTTGGAAGTGTGCAGAAGAACAGTCCTTTCCTGGGAGAGTCTTCACATGTAGTTCCAAGTTCATGATCTACTGCAAACCAAACTCCAGGTGATCAATTCCCACCTGCCCTAGTCCTTAAACTTGCAGACATAGGGTAACTTCACATCACAGTTATAATCTTTCCACCTGAGAAATCCTGGAGAGACAGAAGAGGTACAATAAATAGAACTGATCCAGCTTGGAAACACAATGACTAGGTAGGCATCCCAGATCCTGGTCTGGGATTTACACCTTCTCCTCATCTTTACCAGTGCCCCATTAGAGAGGAAAGAAACTCAAAGAAAGGTCAGATGAGAGGAGATGAAAGAAGACAAACCCACATTGCATTAACAGGCACAGGAAGATGTTCTGAAGGTCAGGGTTACAATGAATAAAGAGGAGTAGAAAAGGCTGGGCAAATATGCCAAGTCAAATTCTTACCTGCGCTTCTTGACAGGGTCGCACAGTATCCAGGGTTTGAGACCGTGGTAGGATCTCTCTCCCAGGCAAGGTAATTCAGCAAATCACCGCTGCTCCACTCCCATCCCCCTCCATTGGGCTCATAGCCCTGCAGGGCAGGGGACACAGCCAGTGAAGGGATTGGCCTTTGGAAGTTTCCTTGGATAACCCCATTATTTATAACACCTGATTCTCTCCCCAGCATCTGGAAGATGGTCTGTTATTCAACATGCTTCCCCAAGGTACTATTCACAGAGCATCTCCTCCTTAACACCTCACTTTTACTGGCAAACTCAGCCAATAATCATAAAGCCTTAGGAAACACACAAAGTCCATGTTACTTGCTAGAGCAAATACCGATTATCCGTTTCTATTTAGCCACTGAGGTTCAAAGACAGTCCCTGTGCTAAGAGGTCAAAAAGGATCTTGTTTTTATTTAGGATACCCTGATTATCCGTTTCTATTTAACCACTGAGGTTCAAAGACAGTCTCTGTGTTAAGAGGCCAAAAAGGATCTTGTTTTTATTTAGGATACCCTTAGAATTCTATGGTCAGAGTGCATGAAGCACAGATAACAAAATTATAAGACCTCATGTGAGACTTATGTGAAAAGCTTGATAAGAGGTGTCTCTGTGTTATATCCTGGTTGGCATGGAACAGAGAGCCTGAGTACTAACAGTCACTTCCAGGTAATATAGAGGAGAAAATGCAGTCGCACCTGTGTGGGGTCATGGAAGCCAATCCAGATGTATGAGTAGCTGTTCACAAGGTTCTTGACCAGAGAGGACACGAAAGATCCCTCAGCCCCATTGAGCACAGACACGAGGTGTCCCGAGGGCCGCTTCTGGCAGGCCATCTGTATAGGGAAGAGAGTGAAGGAGAGAGAGCCTGAGTGCTCACTAGGAGAAGAGCAGGACAGAGGTGGGTGAGAAGCATGATTGTGAGAAAGATAAGGGAGCTCATTCTCATTTTCATACTCGTTTAACTGTTAAGAATGAAGATGCCTTCACCAGGCGAACCACATGCATTTCTGTTGTAAACCAAGCCCGCATTCCCTTATAAACCGAACACTCACATCTGCATCAAACCAGGACTTTGGTGTAGTAAACAAGGCATAGCAGTGGGAGGCATAGACAACTGAGCCCTTGGGACAGCTGATCTTTGGAGAAGGGAGTGCATTCTGTGAGTCTTCAGCTTGGGTGGAAGGAGAAGGATGGGCTGAAATGAACAGAAAGTTCAGAGGAAGAGGGTAAGGACATGACCTTGATGAATAACCATGGAGACTAGACTTGAAAAGTAAACCCATTCCTGAGTACTTCTCAACTTTGCTCATACTGTCAAGGGGTCTTGATCCTTAAATAGAATTATTACGAGTCATCTCTTCTTTGTTTTACACTTTTACTGTAATGCTAGTATACTTTCCCATTCTGGCCTGAATGTCTGTACATTGGGTCTCCAGTCTTTCTCCTACTCATATCACATTACTGACCATTCTCACTCTACTTCTGTATCCAACATAAAATAGAGTCCATTGAAAAACTGGAAGCCAACTCATTTCTAATTTTAGACCACTGAGGTGCCTCCCACCACTAGTGACCCTGAAGGAAGGAATGATAGAGGAATGGCAGGCACTGTCACTGTGTGGAGAACTCCTCACCATTCCCACATGCACACACAGGAACCTTCCTCCTCCTCTTGGCTCTGACCATTCTCAGGGAACCCAGAACTAGAGGCAGAGGCAGCTCACCTTGGACCTGAGACAGGAGCACCAGACAGGAGAGCAGCATCCAGGACACACTGGGGAGGGACGTTGGGGACAGCATCGTGCCTGTGACTGTAGAGACAATCAGAGTTCAGCAAGGGGAGTGTGGTCTGAGGGAGGATATGCAGAGAGCCCAGTGCCCTTATCTTTTCTTCTCTACTCCTAGGATTAAATTAATCTTGGTCACAGCCATTCCCTTTAATGGTTCACTAATGTAGTAGGTAATCTGTGCATCCTACTACCCCTGAGAATGAGCAGAGTATCCTAGCTGAGGCTCAGAGCTGTTGTATTCTCTGAGAACTAGAACCCCCCTGTACCTTCATCCTGTAATGTGTGAGGTAAATCCATCCACAGGTCTCATTTTCTCTCAAATCCAACTTACCTGCCTTGCAGGGATCTGAAATGGTTTGTCTGAACAGAATAGCCTGGGCTTTTATATAGGATCTGAGGATGGAACATTGGGATGAATGATAAGCAGAACTGGGGTCATGGGGAGCTTTTGGCATGGATTCAAAGAGATTCCCACCAAGGGGAGGTGACTCTTCCTGGCAAAGACTGGGAATTACTACATGTGTTACCTCCTGCCTGATAACAGGGCAGTACTTTCAAGAAGCAGGTGAAGTTTGTACTCTGACCACCAGGTCCCAAGTGTTCTGAGGATTGTAGGGATTCCTGTGCAATAAATTGAGATCTAACAAAGTGTTAAAAAAAATTATGCATTGGGTCTTTAATGAAATTTTGAGAAGTGTACATTTGAACAGCCTGCCAGAAACTCACTCCTTTAGGCATGTAAAATTTTTTAAATTTTCAATTCATACTTTAAGCAAGTTAACAAGTAAATATTGGGTGTGTGTAGAGATAGGAATCATTACGGAACAGTGTATCTCTTTTTTTTTTTTTTTGAGAAGTTTTTGCTATAGGGGTCACGTGCTTTGCTATAGGGTGCATGTGCTTGCCAGAGAGGTAGAGAGAGACAGAGGACAGAAAGCGAGAAGTCACCCCCCAGGGGGGATGGCCATGCCACAATCCCTTTTCCTCCATTCTCTCAGGATCTTGGGCATGCACGCACACGCGCCCGGCGTGAGTTTAAGCCACCAGGTCCGGGGCTCGAACCGTAGTCAACTACATGGGAGTCCAGCAACATAGCCATCACGCTAACTGTTGGTCCCAACAGTGTATCTCTTGATGGAAAAGAAAAAAATCAAAATTAAGAGGAGCAACAGTGATTCAGAATTGCTGCTTGAACCATTGCAGCACAATAGAAAGGAAGGATGCATTGAAGCTTGCTGTGGTCTTTTGAGCCAATAGACAGGCCAGGGTTATAAAGAACAGCAGCTAAACAGACTTTCCTTCTAGCTATCTTTTTTTTTTTGGAAAAACTGAAAAGTAGTTCTTCAGTACTCATCACTACTGAGTTGGCAACTCAATATTTGTGTATTAGTCTCAGATTTTAAGACCATACCCATGGCAGTCTCAAGACCTTCTGAAAATGGCTGTGACATTGTAATTTCATCATATGAATAAATTATTTTCTTAGTTCATTTCTTTTTGCACTGATGGAGCAAAAGAAATGGTAGGCCCAAGTTCTGTAGCATTGATCACAGCAGCGGTAGCCACTATTTCCTTGGTTCACAGCTATGCACTTGCAGGAAACACAAGGACAATTTTCTTTAATGTGCCTTTGAACTTGCTAAATCAGTGAAGATAGCTAACTTTAACCAATTTCAAACCTTTATTTCTTCTTCTTTAATATTCTGTATGACCAGATTGGAGGTCAGCATACTGAAGTACAATGATTATCCTGAGTTACAGCATCTGTCTATAATGCTGAGTTTTAATTCACTGTTTTTGTTGAATATAATTGTTACTTTAAAAAAATAGACCAATAGAAGTATGTCATTTCATTTTTACTAAAAATAGATGAATAGAAATACATCATTATTCACATTTGGGTATTTTGCTTACATGTGTTTTTTTTTTAATTAATGTCAGTTAGTAAGTAATAAATACTCCTAAAATCTTAGTGTAATGTCTAGTTTTATAAATATTAATGACCCACATGAATAAAGACTGTTTGGGATTCTCAATATTTTTTTATCATAAATTTGTCCTTAAAAAAAACCGTTCTAGCATCACTATTAACATCTAGCTTTCAATATTCAGAAAATGTAAATGAAGACAAGTTTTATGTACAAAGTAGGATTACAATCAGCAAAGTCTAAAGTGTGGGAACTCCTACAGTGAAAACAACTTCATTTTGTAAGCAAAGGAATTTAAGGAAATAAGGTAATATAACAGTCTTTACAAGTAAGACATACGTCAATCAAATACAGTGTCTGGACCATGTGTAGGTTCTTGGATAAACCAAATGGGGGAAAAACGATCATAGCGTAACTGAGTATCATCATACAGTTGAGTCTGAGTAAAGTGGTGTGAGGATGCTGACTGCCAAGGAAGTAAAAGATCAAACTGTATCAGTTGACCTCCCTCCAATTTAACTCCTAATAGCCTACTATTGACAAGAAACTACCAGTAAAATAAACTTTATAAACTATATTAACACATAGTTCATATATGTACTATGTACTGTATTCTTAGAGAAAAGAAAATTAGAAAAAGAAGTCATTAAGAAAAGACAATGACAAGGAAATACATTTACCATACTTGACTCTATTTCCCAATATATGTATTGAAAAAACTGCACATAAGTGGATCCACATAATTTAAACTCATGTTGTTGAACAGTCAAATATATATCATCATTCTATTTGGAAAGCACATACAAATACTAAGTCCAGAGATTCAAGGAATAAAATTTAAATTTATACTTCAGAGCAAAGTTCTTGGGGCTACTGACAAACAGAAACAAAGCACTAGCCAGGCCAGAATGAGGCACCCATCCAGAAAGTTTGGGCAAGTTGTTGCAGTGCCTGTTGTTGTTTATTAATCTCTTTCCTGGGGAGGAAGGAGCCTCTATGTTTGCCTTTCTTTAAGAACATGGGGAATGAGGACACATGACTAAGAAAAGGTCTAAGCGAAATCAAGCACTGGTTTACTGACTTGTTTTCCAATTCCCCTTCCACTTCACCCCTAATTTTGAATAAAAGTGATGGAAAAAAATGATAAACATTCTACATGAGTATCAAAATGAGAACCAGCTCTGGAAAGACAGCTAAGCTTCTGCTGTCAAAGTTACCAATGTGTTTAAATGGCTATTGTTGAACTGCCCCTTTAAATGATCTTGAACCTGACATCCAGACTTCAGCCTTTCTAACTGAAAATGCCAAGAATGACACAATAGAATTTACTTTTTGAGTGAATAATATTCTTTATTTTGTCACTGATTCCATATTCTCTGTATTTTTTTTTTCTTGACTTGAAGGAAGTGAATTTAAAGCAATAGCTTCTTTTACAAATGTAATGAAGATTATCTGTGGTGTGTAAACCTTCCCCTTTTGTTTCCTGGCTACTCCATGGGTGTGACCCTCTCATAGAGAATGTTATAACACTTCTTTAAAAAGAAGCAGTTTATTTTATATTAGTGTGGTTTTCTTTCTTTTCTTTTCTTCTTTTTTATTTGTAGTTAGTAAAATATGTCAATAAGAGATATCTCCTCATCAAATCCTTTGTAAACTGTGCATCCATGCTTCCTCTACTAATGCAAGGGTTTTTTAAAGTAAACAAGTACTGGGACCAGCAGTTGGTATAATGATCATGTTGCTAGACTCCTGTGTAGTCAACTGTAGTTCAAGTCCCATACCTGGTTGCTTAAACTCACGCTGGGCACATGTATGTGCATGCCCATCATCCCAAGAGGAGTATTGAGGAGAAGGGATTGCAAAGTGGCCATCCCCCGGGGGGGGGGGTGATTTCTTGCTTTCTGTCTCTCTGTCTCTGTCTTTCTGGAGAGCACATGTGCCCTATGACAAAACCCTTTCCAAAAAAAAAAAAGTACTAAAAACAAATACTGAAAATTGGTTTGTGTATGATTGAGAGAAGAAAGAAATGCTCTACAAGAGTTCTACGAACTACCAAGAAAGAGATTTCTACTGTCATACAAGTCCTTTTACATCATGAAGAGAAAAATGCTTCTTAATTCTCTGTATAACAGCTAATAAGACAAAAAAGAAAGTCTACACTGAAAACACAAATGGACTTTCAGTCTAATTCAGATGCCTCTTTGCTGAGAGCAGCCTGTCTTAGAAAGGGTACAGGAGACGTGTCAAATATCAGCTAATATATTGTTCTTTCATCTCCTCTCTGAGCTCTGGAAACAATCTGGGACTATTACAGCTGGTGTTGCATTTACCGCCTTAGTCCAGTACACCATAGTTTTTATCTTCATTCTTTTGTTCTCACAATGAGAGATATGGTGACACACATAGCCTTGAACTCTGGAGAAACTATTAATGCTCCATCTTTGTAAAAGATAGTTATATATAGGCAAAAGTAGGGTTGGACTCTTCAGTAACAGAGGTGTATGTTATGCTGGGTGAAGTCTCTTCGCAATCTAAATGATGTATAGCAATTTAATGTATGAATAATAATAAATATATAAATAAAAAAAATTAAACACACACACACACACAAAACACTGGAAGAAGGACCAGCAGAAAGTGAAATGCTTACATTGCTGGGCTCCCACTTAGTCGACTGCAGTAAAACTCACACTGGGTGCGTGCCCGTGCGTGACTAAAATCCCAGGAGGAAGATGGAGGATTAGGGATTGAATTATGGCCATCACCTTGGGGGACGATTTCTCCTTTTCTGTTTCTCTGTCTCTCTGTCTCTTGTGAGTGCAGGCTCCCTGTAGCAAAAATCTCCCTTAAAAAAAATACACTGAAAGTGTTTTAGACCAGAATATTAGGCATCGTTGTCATTATTATTATTATTATTTAATCATGCAACCCTGAAATAAGTTTCATTTCCTTTCTAAATTCATGGTATTGGAAAATTCTGAATTCATCGAGGGCAAATTAAGGAAACCTTGAACACCCTGCTAATTGCATCTGTATTTTAAAATATTCTTACAAAATTGAAAAAAAATGTTAGAATAAAAATTTTCAGAAGAGTTCTACAAACTACCAAGGAAGAGATTTCTACTGTCGTATAAACCCTTTTAGATCATGAAGAGAAAAATGCTTCTTAATTCTCTGTATACCAGCTAAAAAGACAAAAAAAGTCTACACTGAAAACACAAATGGACTTTCAGTCTAATTCAGATGCCTCTTTGCTGAGAGCAGCCTGTCTTAGAAAGGGTACAGGAGACGTGCCAAATATCAGTTAATATATTGTTCATTCATCTCCTCTACCTATTTGAGTTAGAAACCCCTATAATATACCACTGATAGATTTAGCAGATCTGTACTATTTGGGAATACTTATCCTGAATAACCTTTCCTAGTTTACCAAATATTGAAATTCTACAAGTTCATTTTTTATCTGGTAAGCCTACCTGCTAGCCATGCT